CCTCCTGCCAGTGAGGACCTGGTACCCTTGGTTCTGCCACATTCTTCACTGCCATTCTTCTGTTTTTTACATGCACAATCTGGCGGGGGCTGTCTCCTTTCTTATTTTGTCTTTGTGGTATAAGGCCTTCAAAAAAATCCTTCGTGGTTATTTTTAGTGGAGTCTGAGGAGAGACTGGAAACTACAGCTTTCATTCTACTCATCATCTTTAAACAAATCAGTAGTCAATAGGAGCCAAATATAAACATTTTAGCTAATTATTTTTAACCCTTCAATGTCTAGGGTTGCTTTTTTGGGATGCCCATTATAATGGAACATAATGATATTTTTTTCTCTCATATGAAATTCATCAATCTTCAGTATAAATGGGTTAAAGAGATGGGACAACAGTTTAATTTTCTCATCGTAATCTGTGTCCAAAAGCTCTCAAGTACAGCTCCCATCTGAGAATGGGGAATCTAAGGTCCAAGAGACCAAATGATGCACCCAAGGTTCTAGAGCTCAGAATGCTTGGGATGGTTTTTGAATTGGGTCTGCTATGATGTGTCTGATTCCTAAGTAAAACAGCTGTCATCTATTCATCAAACACTGATGGGCACTTCTGTTAAGGGCTCCAGCAAACTTTAAACTCTGATCCTTACTCTGAGAAACAGCTACAAAATCATGAGGAAAAAAAGGAAACACTAAGCCAAGGTGATTTCACGAGTACCCACTAGGGTACTGGGATTGTGCTACATCATGTAGGAGATGATGGGAGAATCAGAGCTGAATTCTGTATCAATTACTAGCCTACAAAGTAGGAAATGTTCCTGCCACGAGGCAGATGTAGATGGAGGTCAAAGAGGAAGACAGTACTTTCGGCTGGAGAGATCAGAGCCGGCATCGGGAAGGATGGATATTTAAATTGTGTCTCAGGGAGATGAAGAAAAATGACATCCACACAGAGAGAACAGCACAGCATTGCACAGGTCTATTTTTAACCTGGAAAAGGTAATTCTAAGGCTCAAGGAAAATTCCTTTTGTTGAAACTACGGATCCCATACACCTTTGAGGAAGGTGGTGTTGCTCTGATGACAGCAACCTTGTGTGTTCTCTGAACATGTTCCTCACCTATTTTGAGATATTTTCCTAAGCCATGGTCCTTGCTTTTATCATTTAACACATCACTCAAGCCACTTCAATGAAGCAGTGACTGTTCGGGAGAGGCCCTGCCCCTGGATTAGATGACACACCAATTAACCAAGTACACAGAGCCAGCCTGCCTGCTGCCTTGGACTCGGGGGACCCAGGAGACCAGTGCACAGAGGTGGCAACAAGGGCGGGAGATGAGATCCAGCTGAAAAGAGCAAATGCCTGTGCTAAAGAGGGCCTTTACAGCCTGATGCCTGCAGAAACAATGCCTGGAAGGGACGTCTCCCCACCCCGTCTCACCAGGGGTCCCAAAACTGCAAGCTAACACATGTACCCATAGAGCTTCCCGGTGAGGACAGGGACATCACAGGCCTGACCTGCTTGCTGCCTTTTAAGTGCACGCACTCTTCTGGGTACTGAAATGTGCAGGAACTGTGTGTCAGCTATTTTTTGACCTGATAAGAGCATCTTAAGACCCAGATTCTGCATATAGTACCACATTTTACATCTCGCCTATTTTACTTCTACTTCTGTTGCGATTCAAGTGACTCATGCATATGAATGGAGCAACTAACTAGTAAAAATCAAGAATAATAGCTGGGTGTGGTGAGATACACTTGTCACTCCAGTCTCTGGGAGGCTGAAGCAGGACCATCTCAAGTTTGAGCCTGGTCTGGGCAACTTAGCCAGCTAGCAAAACACTATCTCAAAATAAAGAATGAACAACAACAACAAAGAATAGGACTTTTCCCTCAAGCCATTCTCTGGGAGAAAAGATGAAAACTAAACTGCCTGTGAAATCAGAAAACTGCACTCTAAAATGTTTTGGACATCTCTTCCTCTAAGGATTAAATAAAGCCCTCACATTTGGAAAAGGAAGTGCTTCTTATGCACCAAATCGTTTTCATTTTAGAGTTCAGCCCTCAAGTCTTGAAGAGCAACTACAGCACCAGCGAGAACAATCCTAAGACTCATGCTATCAAATGAATCAGGGAGCGCTTTCTAAGACAGGCAATCAAGTATTCTGGATAGGTTTAACCCCAGTCTGTCCTGGTTCAGGAATTTTGGAGCCTTGTCTATGAGCTTCATGTCTTTTTCCTTCTTTTCCTTCTGCATTTCCTCAATGATTCTAGTGACACTTTGAGGACAAACTGCAATTCCATAGGGTTCTCTGTTCCATCAGGAGCGAGCCCCACAATGCTCACATAAGGCCGCCACCTTCTTAGGACTCTAAAACCAATCTACAGGAGGGGACCATGGTATGGTTAGAAATAAACAAGTAGCAGAGGAAAGGGCCAAATCCCTCCCAGCTAGGAAACCCACATGCTTTACCAGTAATGAATAATCTCACTTGTTCTTTTCTTGAATAATCTCCACTCTTGTGTCACTTTTGCCAATTCCAAATACTTTGCACAACCAACAAAGTTCTGGACATCAGTTGTCCCTGAACATGGGCTACTGAGCTGAGCAGAGACAAGAGCAGTTCAACCCCTGGATAAGAGTGTCTGATACTGAAGATTCTTTGCTTTAGGCACAAATGTGCTTGTCTGTGATTTTAAAATTGCAGTGAGCCTGCTTTCCTCAGTGACCCAGACTATTTAATAGTTTACCTCCAGGATAAATGGGCATGATCAATGGCCCCCTCCAGTACATGAGCAGTAACCTTTCTTCCCTAAGAGACAGAAGAGTCCTCTTTTATTATTCTTTGCACCCTCAATGCCCTAGTGAAATCCTGGGAGACGTAGATCTCTATGTAACACAGTGAATACTGGTATGATAGGTACCTCTACTTTCCTACCTACCCAGCTGACCTCCTGTTTCCCATCTGCCTCTCTGTGGCCACACCCCACAAAGCACTCAGTGACACCGTGAAGAGCTGAGTCAGATTGTTTGCTCTGAGATAACATCTCAAGCCTTCATTTTGGCTGTATGATGTCCCCTGGAGACGGCTCTGCATTTGTGTTTGCCCTTCTTTCCCTTGCTAACGCCATGCCAGTCACACTGGTCTGTGCTTCCTTTGTTTGTGCCAAGTGCATCCCATCTCAGAGCCTTTGCTCTGGCTGCTACCAAGTGGCTCCCTCCTTTCACAGCATTCAAGTCGCTGCACACATGGAACTAAATCCTAGGGGACAGCCTGCTCCCCACTTTTCCATGGGACGCATCACCACCTGAATTGCACACTTGGTCAGCTCAGGTCTTCTGGCCTTGCCCTTGAGCCCCAGCCCTCACTTCTAGATGTCCTCCAGGAGAGCCAGGAGCTGAGGCCTTGCATTAGTCTCTGCCCACCACCCACACAGCAAGGCAGAGAGGACGCATGAGAACAGACACACACACTTCACAGCTGAAGCCCACTACCTCTGCTCCACAGGACTGCCCAGCCTCTGTGCTCCGTGCCACTCAAGGATCTGTCCCTGTCCCAGCCACACACCCCACAGCTGTTGCATGAAAGCTAAGGAATGGGCAGCAGCAGAGTAGTAGAGTCAGTCTGGAAAGTGGCTCAGAGATTTTGTTTTACAGGTGAGACCTGAGGCCCAGGGAGGGGCAGGGGTGGAAACCAGTGGCAAAGCTGGAACTGCAGGCTAGGTTCTTCCACTCCAATCTGGGATTCTTAGCTCCATACTATGTAACCTCTCAATTATTCTCTATGTGGTTACTTGTAAAATATAGAGAACGATAATTACTTAAAATAAAAGTGAAAGGATATGATGGCAAGGCCCAGGTCCCACAGATCAAAAGCACTGGTTTCCCCAGAAACAAGCTAACAGAATAAATAAGCCCTTCAGGAGTCCATGGGAGACTAAATTCAGAGTTACCCCATTCCAGCAACTTCTCAGCAACACACATGTACTGTATTTTTTCTTAGACTCCCTTTTGTGAAGAAGCAGGAAAGTATGGTTTAATAAACATTGAATACTTCATTTTTATTTCCTTTCTGCCATGCAAGTGAATTAAGTCTGAAGCTATTTCCTTGCAAAGATGATGCACTCATGCATTACAAAAAGCACAGGAGAAGTATTTGACTAAAGAAAGGGTGATAAAATCATAACTGCACCTCTATCCATGATTTTATTTAGAGTCCTCTCTACTTTTTTTTAAAGAGTCTTTTCTACTTTTTCAGATTTACCTGAATCAATGGAATTGAGAAACGATTTGTAAAGCCCTGGTGAGAACCAGGCTTCTATACTACTGAATTCCAATTGGGCCAGATATCCTTGGGATAGAAGTCAGACAGTCCTTTTATAGAAATCTCAAGTCAGAGTTCTAATAGGGCTGCACCTAGCAACTAGGATGAAGTCCATTCTAAATACAGCACTGAAGAATAGCAATATAAGTTATGCTATGCACCTCCCCCATTCCACACCACTCCCCACCCCCATAAACATGGAATGAGGTAGCTTTAAACAAACATATAGCACTCACACATCCACATCAGTTGGTTGTAATCAGAGGACTATAATCACCTTTGGGTACTAGATGTGCATTTCACCAAGGCCACTGTCACACAGCATTTTTCTGGAGCCCTTCTTTTAGAACATAGGTTCTCTAGATCCAGTGTGCCTAAGTGTCACCCAGAGAATGTGAGGTGTGCAGACCCTCAGAGATTTAAACTGACCTTGGATGGGGTCTGGGAAATCTGTTGTAACAAGCACTTCAGAACCTGTCATATCTGCAAACAGTAGTGCTTTAGAATAACCCCGACTCAGTCCACAACCATACAAGGACAGCAGGGTAAGGACTGTAGAATCCAACTCTGTACACACACATGTAACGCAGTGACAATTTCATCCTTTCAAAATCTCCACTCTTCCTGATGGAACACGAGTACAAACATGCATAGAAATGTCCATTTGTAATCAACGACATTGTACCTCCATGAAAGAGATTCCTAAGCTCCAGACATCAGAATGAATTCCATACTGTTCTCCTGAAATTCTTTCAGGCTGTAAGAAAGCAGAAAGGACTTTGTGAGTTGATGAGTTATTCTAGAAAACACATACACTGAACAGAAGATCAGTTAATGCAGGGCTCATTGACATTGGCGTAGCATTGTATGCATAGTAAATCAATTTCACATGCATTTGTACATGTGGCTTACACAGAAAATACATGGAAATGGTATATAATTAAATATGCCTGTGGATGTGTGTAAAATCACATCAAATCTTCTAGTTGGCCCTGGTGAAGAAGATTTTAATCATTCCAATTTCACAGGTGAAGATGATGAAGTCTCTAAGAAGTGAATTAATTTGGGAAAGCATCGAAGCTAGCAAACGAGCTGAGACTTGAGCCCAGGTCTTCTTTCCCTACATAAAGCAATCTTAATTGTGCAGTGACAAATTATGCAACAATATATAATATTATCACTTATTTGCAATTTGATAGCTGGATCTCAAAGACTAAGGACTTAAATTTATTTATTATTATTATTTTTGGAGACAGGGTATTACTATGCAGTTCAGGCTAGCCTTGAACTCACTATGCAGCCCAGGCTGTTCTTGAACTCACAGTGATCCATTTGCCTCAGCCTCTTAAGTGCTGGGGTAACAGACATGCACCACTATGCCCAGCAGGACTTACATTTTAAAACATTTTTTACCTAGCAACAATTTCAAGTTTGTAGAGAAGTGAAAAGGGTAAGATTAGTGTGAAGAACATTCATATTTCCTTTACTAGGCTCACTTGTGTCCCATGCTTTATTCCACCTATCAGGGCTTCTCTGCTATGTGTCAAGGCCCTCTTGGGATGGTTGGTCCTCCCCTGGAGACTCATACTGGGAGGCCACACCCTCTGCTTCAACAGGAGAAACTTTACACTGAGAGCTGTATTCTAATCACCCCTTCCAGGATTTGGCATTCAGTAGGCACTCACAGGAGTGGTTGGAATGAACACATGGACAAATGACTAAGAGAAACTGAGGTCTCGCAGAGGTGGCATAATTGCTCAAGATTGTGGACAGATATGGTGGCAGAGCTGGGATAAGGATCTACACTCTGTTACCCAACTCTCTGGTTCAACAGCTACTCGGATTACTCATACAGAACTGCAGTCTGTGACAATAACAGGACTGCTGCCATCCCCATCACTGTGCGCATTTAATAGAGAACTGCCACGTGCCAGGCACTGTTTAAGTGCTTTTCATACATGTCTCATTTCAGCCTCACAAATATACGTGCGAGTTTTATTTTATTATCATCCCCATTTAACAGATGAGGAAAATGAGGCATGGAGAGATTTAGTTTAATTACTGACCATATGTAATGCTGCACACACAACAGGCATATAAGGAAGACAGCAGTAACTGTCACTCAGTGACCACTGATAGTGCCAGACGATGGGCCAGGAACTCAGAGTCCTCTTTCCTTTCCAGTAACCTTGCAAAGGTAAAGGTTGCAGACTTCACTCTACTGATGGAAAGCCTGAGACTTGTCCAAGCATGGAGCTCTGGATTAGCATTAAGTGAACTGGCCAGGAGCGGAGCCAGAATTCAAACCCAGTTGTATCTGACCGCAAAATCCTTTCCAGCGTGTCAAACTGTCCCTGGCACTGAAAGTCAGAAGAGCCAAGCACCAGTCTTAACCTAGTATTTCTGCAGTGCTGCCTCGCGACAGCCATCAGAGAACTGCCTGAGGGGCTTACCAAGATGAACTTCCTGCATCAGAATCCTGGGGCTGGGGGTGGGCACTCTGGGAACTGTCATTTTAAAAAATAAGTTCTCTGGGTGATTCTTTGCTACACTCAGTGCCAGTCACTGAAGATTTCCCTATTCTTCCTTCCACTGGCTGAAAGTCCTCAATACACAGCACTACATCCAGAGTACAGAAAAAACATGAAACACAAACTGAAGTGGAAACCACAGACAGAATACTTTGGCAATGAGACTGAATACATTCATTACATTTGCCCACTGACCTACCAAGGCAAATGTGGACTGCAAACTAAAAATAAAGCACAGGATAAGGTGCAGTGGCAGAGCTGAGGCTGGGAGTTCCATTCTCACAAGACAGCTGTCAACAAGGTGGACTAGATAAGATGAACAGACTTTCGACTGCAGCATAACCATACTGAGGTTTAACTGAAGAGCAAACCAAACCAAACCAAAGCCTGCATCTTTTGCAGGACTAGCAGGTGTGTAGTGATGTAAAATGCAATTCACAGTGGGCCCACAAAGGCTGTGGCTTCAAGCTGCTTGCACCCATTCCCTCCAGCTGTGACTGGGAAGCTACTCAGGGCCCATATGTAGCTAACTGCAGAACTGTCTGTTTACGACACGACACTCCAGGGTCTACTTGTCAAGAGCAGAAACAATATCAAGGTGTATACCTTGTCTCTCCACCCCCCTAAAAGTTTCAGCTGAGTTAAGCTTCAAAAAATTAATAAGTCAGTGCAAATTTTTTAGACTAGCATGTAACCAAAATATGCACAAGTGATAGAAAAAAATTTTTTTGCACTAGGGATTTAACCCAGGGACCCTCTACCTATCTATGTTTCCAGCTCTCTGTTTTTTATGTTGAGACAGGGTCTTGCTAAGTTGCTCAGACTGACCCCAACTTGTGAACCCTCTGCCTGTTTCCTGAACAGCTAGGGTTACAGCTATGCACCCCTGTTCCCAGCAGGTTTGTTTTTTGTTATCTATGTATCTGTCTACCTACCTATCTATCTATCTATCTATCCACTTTTAGGTTGACAAAACCCTTAAAAAGATAGCCCAGCATACTGGTTAAGTGGGGGTTCCAGAGTCAGACTGCTGTAATTCAGATCCCCCTTATCTTTACTCTTGCTTCTGTTGTGTTCAACAGACTATCAAAGGCAGTGAGTTCTACATTTTTAATCTGGAAGTTTTCTTTTGGATGTTCTTAAATCTGCTGTGTTGCTTTTGAAATGTGGGACTGAACCAAGTCTGTGTGCATTTGTTTCTGCTGTTTGTTGTGTCTGCTGGACATTTGCGCTGCCTTGTTTTTGTGTCTGATTTGCTTTGACTGCAAGTTTTTCCTCTGGAATAGTATTTTTTTAGAGAGGTTCTCTGAGGCCTACAGTGGACATGCTGCCTTCAACCAGTTCCCAGCATAAAGCTTCTTTCCTAACTCAGCTCATGTGGGCATATTTACAGGCTGCAAATGAGCGGCAGACATCATCTGTGGTCACAACCCCTTGCCATGTGCTCCTTCTCCTGCTTCTCTGCTGAGATGGGAGAAGCCTCTGCAGCTCTCTGTTAACAGGAAGAGGAGCAGCTTTAGAGCTCTTTTGCCTCTGCACTAAAGCTGCACCCTTTGGGCTACCAGTATGCAACAGGGAACATTTCTACTGAGAGCTTCTGCTCTGGGTGGGCCCTGGAGTTTGCTGTATCTTTGGCCTGAGTGTGGTATCCAAAAATGCACTCGGGAAGAGCAGCTTTGGTGCTTTGACATTCTGCTTTTCTCTCTGTCACAGGATTTCACTCAAAAATTGTCCTAGGCCAGGTGTGGTGGCAGCTGCCTGTAATCTTAGCTACTTAGGAGACTGAGGCAGGCAAATTTAAATGTGAGGTCCACCTAGGCAACTTAGTGAGACCCTGTCTCAAAATAAAAAAAGGCTACGGATGGAGCTCAATCCCTAGTATTCATAAATAAATAACTTAATATGAGAACATTTTCTGGAAACGCGCCATTGTCTTGGTAACTCCCCAGTGCATTTGAGGGGGTTAAAAATTTAAAAATTGCATTGTTGCAACAGAAGAGTTGATTCAAATTATCTAAAACTTAAAATCCAAAAAACTAGGAGCTGATGTCCTAATTAAAATCTTGCCTTTTATGTGCCAACTACAAGAACTTGGGCTAATGTTATTTCACCTTTGGCTTCCTGATCTGTAAAATGAAGATAATGATAATACATGCTCTGTAATTTTGTCCGCTGTGTTCCCCATGGGAGTATAAACCCTAGCCTCCTCTAATCATCACTTCTGCTGCTACTACATGGCATGAGTATGACCAGCTGGGCTGCAGCATAAGACCCATACTGGTTTCACTGAATTAATTTTTTTATACAGAGTCTTGTTATGTAGTTCATTTTGGTTTTGAATTCACTATGTGGCCCAGTTTGGCCTTGAACTCTTGGTGATCCTCCTGCTCAGCCTCCCGAGTGGTGGGATTACCGCCATGCACCACCATTCCTGGCCTACACAGATTTTATTCCAGGTAAAGACATTTTCAGGGATTGGAATAGCCTGAGCAAAAACCCAAAAACAACAACAAAAATCCAGAACAGCTGTTTAGATTAAATTTCTGATCCCAAAGGATGAACATTTGAGCAACATCTTTTTTGAACTTCAAAACTTCAATGAGTCATAAAAATACAAATTTTCATATTTGATTCTAAAACTTATAATGCAAAAACAATGACTGAATAGTTCATTAAAGTTTTAGGGACTTTTACATTAAGAATAGAGTAAAAAAAATTTTTTAAACTTCCAATTATTCAATTAGTATATATGTTCGCAGTTCATGCTGTTTGCAGTCATCCTGGGAGTGGTTACATGCCAACCACAGCTGTGTCTTTCTGTTTTTAAATCCCCTTCTTCTCCCTCTCCCCTAGTTTTCATTCTTGTTATTATAAATCTTAGCTCATGTTAAGGCATATAATATTTACACTATATGAGGTTTTTAGGCTTCTGTACGTGGCACATTTTTATTCTACTGATCCTCTCCCCTCCTCCTCACCCCTCACACTTTTTCCTTCAGACCACTTCCCTGCTGTGAGAGATCCATCTCCTTGCTCCTTTCTTAATTTCTTTATATAGTTTTTAAAATGCGCCTGTGTTTTGTTAATTTTATTGGTACATTTTAGATATACATAGTGGTCACGTTCACCACAAGGAATTTGGACCTGTGTACCATACATCTTGATTGTTCTCCCCCCACACTCCCCCTTTCAATCCCTCTTCCTCTAAATCAACATTACAACGCTATGCTACAAAAACTTTGTTTCCATTTTTTCCTTCTTTTCTTTTCTCTTCCTTCTTTCCCCTCTCCTCCCAATAGATAAAATTTTTAATAATTAAAATTTCTGAGAAATAGCTTTCTTCACTCTTTACAATCCTTTGGACAAAATTCTCATAAAAAGCATTTGCAAGTCTTTTATGCTCTCTCTGGATGAAGGTGTCTATGAGATCTAGTTATTTGTCCCTAGAAAGCACAGGTCCTTTCCGGGTCTCTGGCTCTGACTGGTCAATTACGGGGTTGGATCATGGCTTCCCCAGTCTCCTACAAGCTGCACCACTTAATGAGCCTGTAAAGAGTTTTTTCCCCTAAGACGATTTAAGGTGCTACAAAAGTCTCCCTGCCTTTTTTTCTGTCATTTTCCCTGCACCTTACATTTGAGGTTACAGGAAAATAAAGTAACATTGTTTACATACACAGGGTTCTTTGTGGTTTCTTTTCAATACTTAAGCAGGTTACCAGCTATATTTCATAATATGGGGTCTTGCACAACTTAATACATAATTAAGAGTTAATAAAAAAGGCTAAACACTTTGCTTATAGTTAATGAATAGGACACTTCTGGAAGACAGCTGTCATGAACTATTCATTCACGGAGCCCTGGTGGAGGGACAGGGCTGAGAGCGAGCAGAATAAACCACGGCCCTTGGAGGTTCCTAACCAGAACGGGAGCACCCCATAAATGACCTGGAGATAGGGAAAAGCTCAGTCCTTGGGGCAGATCATGTAGGTTTGAGTTCTCACCCTGCCACTTATTCACTGTGTCAACTTGGATAAGTCACATAACTTCTCACCTCATTTTCTTCACGAGAATAACACTACCCACTGCAAAGCATTGTTGTGGTGACTTAGAGCTAATACATGGAAGAGCTCAGAAGAATGATTGACATACGGTGCTAATTAAGTGCGAGCCATTATTATTACTGATGTTATTATCCCTGCACAAAAGTACGGATAAATACAAAGTGAGTGAAATGGATGCAAAACAAGGCTATTATTTCATTATATCACGTGGTCTCTCATCATACTTCCCTCAGCCTCCGCCCGCCTCCACCCATGCTGGCTGCTTCTGTTTTGAGTGCTCGTCCTCCCTCAGTGAGCACTCTTCTTCTTTTTCACTAAGCGTCCTCTTTATATCCTGTTTGTGATAATTCAAACATCCTGTTTGCCATAATAATAATAAATCAAAAGTGCACATTGCACGCCTTCTTATTTTCTCAGTGTATTTATTTCTTGTTTTCTTGCTTAAAGACACCGTGCACAGTGCTGCTGTTGCAGAAGTCACAGTTCCCATTTGGGCCTGGGCCTCCATGGCACCCGACAAACTGCATGCAAGGTGCCCAATGGTGCTGGCTGATGAGTGCAAAGTACTGTTTCAGACACAGCTTTCACTGGCATAGGCCAGCGGCTGGCAAAGTGTTTGCTGCAAAGGGCCAGAGAGTAAGTATTTTTCACTTTGTGGGCCGTATGTTCTCTGTTGCAGCTGTCACAACCACTCAACTCTGCCACGATGGCCATACCCAATACCTAAACAAACGGCTATGGCCATGTTCTGATAAAACTTTACTTACAAAAGACAGGCCTGAGAGATGCGGCTTGCTAACACTTGCTATATGGCCTCATGGAGAGTCAAAATTATAAACCAGACTAGCTAAAATGAAATTCTACTATGGCTTAAAAATAATGCACAGACTCCCCCCACCCCCAACCCCAGCCCTTCTCCCTCAAGAGGCTGCATGTAGGCAGAAGATAGAAATTAATACCCATACTATAGAGACACAGACTTATTTCCATGGTCCCCAGCCCCCAACTCTGAGCTCACAAACCCCGGTGAACATGCAGCTACTAAATTAAGTGAAGCTCTTGCTTTCACTCTCAGGCCATCATTATTTTCTTGCTGGATGTTGTAGGCTTTTTACAGCTTGAACTACAAAGCTGATGAGTAGGATTCACTCACCCAAGAAGCAAAGCAATTTTAGGTTTGCCAATCTGAGTTAACGTTTCATAATTCTAATCCTTACACTTTCAATTAACAGATGGACGCATTACAATCATCCATAAACAAAAAGAAAAAAGTAATTTCTTTAATGTACACCTGGGAAAGACAACTTTAATCTGGGTTTGTACATTAAATATAATGCAATTTAATTATTAGAGCAATTTAAAGCTACTATGAACACGATGGGCACTTGAGAAGCTGGTTTTTTTTTTTTTTAAATCCCAGTGTTTCTTATTCTTTCAGAGACATATTGTGGCACTCAGGAGGGCTTTGTAAATGATAAAGATGGCTCGCTAATCTCACCCAACCTGGTAGAGCAGAAGGGAGACTAAGGTTTACAAATGCAGACTATGATGATTTCAATGGATAATCTACCTTTCCTATTATTTAGAAAAATAAAAAAGTATGAATTTTCTTTTAAAAAATGCAAAACAAAATTAACTATTTTGATATTTGAATGAAAATAAAATGTTTTGAGAATAAGATTCAGGGGTCCATCCATATCAAATTCTTTTAATCAAGATACTATATGAGGTGGGCATGGTGGCACATGGCTGTAATCCAGCACACTAGAGGCTGAAGCAGGAGGACTTCCATGAGTGTGAGGCCAACCTGAGCTACACAGGGACTTCAAAGTTAGCCTGAACTATGTAAGACCCTGTCTCCAAAAAAACAAAAACAAAAATGGTTCTAAACTAACAAAGAATATCAAGGACAAGATCCATGATTCCACCCATACTAAAATCATTTAATTCTGTGCCATACTTACAAGGAGTAGCAGAAATGAATGGGAGTAACCTACATAAATTTGAAGCCACCACTACAAAAATTAATCCTAAAATGTTAAAATGAAAATTTTGTTCCAAAAATGAGAGTACATAAGCTTCCTGCTTGGCTTTTCCTTTCCTACTCTTGAAGTGATTACGGAAACCAATAAATTAAAGCATCTTCCTGGATACAGGTAACTTCCTTTATTCAAAACATAAGAAAAAGAGATCCAGGTCAGGTTGACAATGGTCTGAATTAGCTCTGTGCACTTACTTTTTTTTTTTTTTTTAAATCAGTACCGGGGATCAAACTCACAACCGCCTGCTTGCAAGTCAGGTGCTTATGCCGCTGAGCTAAATCCCCAGCCCTGTGCACTTACTTTTTATTTTTGACAAAGTTATTTTGGTGAAACAAAATATATGAATCCAACAATTACACAAAATATAAATGTGCAATTTCTAAAAACAACTGCCTGTTAAATGCTTATATCCAGAGATCCATAAATAAAATTTAGCCACGTCCATAATTTAATTCTGGCCTGATGACATAGCATGTTTGTATTCCTGGAAAAAAATAACCAATCTTATTATCTGACATGTTGGTATACTTTAGGGTTAATCAAATAAGCAATGTGGAAAAGCAGCCAGTATGCTAGATGGTACAATTTTTCAGTTAAACTTCGAAATGCAGTGATTTTACACTTGAACTGACCAGTTAAGTCAACAAAGTCAGATAAGTTTATCATGCCTGCAAAAACCCTGTCTTCTAGAAAGATTTAAAAATTGGAGCATGACTGGATTGACTTTGTAATTTACGATCTGCTAGGCTAAAGCTGTGGAATTAATTCAAGAATTCTACATTACCAAGTACATAAAAATGCTGGTTTTAAATGTTATTTTTGCATAAGTTTACTTACCGCCATATAAGCATTTGTTCCAACATACGTCTTGGCTATAGAATTCACCAGCTATGAGACAAAACAGTCTGTTAGAACAATATAAAGATAATGTGGAAATAAAATGGGCAATTATTCCTCATTTAACCTACAATCATCAATCGTATAAATCAACTAAAAATTATGGAAAAGGGAACAAATTTATCTACAAAGGCATTAAAAATGATTAAATCTCTCTTTTCTTTTGAATGTGATTTCCAATTTAAACAAGCGCAGCATTATAGTTTATAGCAGATAACCTTAAACAATTCACTTAAGCAGGATGCTTATTGCTTTAGTACCCCAAACCCGCCTGATATAAAACATCAATTTGAAGTAAAATTTGAACACACTCATTTTTAGTCAGATAGCTCAAGATGTGAACAGAGCCCCATGCATTGCTAGAATGAAATGAACACTAAATACACTGGAGGGATAACAGACTTTGACAACTCATAATACAATGGTGACCTTCGCTTTGGTCTTCGTGTTTGGCTGGGAGTAAAGGTGGCTACAATTCAAATCAACATCACAGCACGCTCATGGGTCACTATCACCGGGGTCCTCAGGGGAGGCCCAAAATGGAAATTAATTAAAATTTGTGCTGCACAATGTAATGGCCCTCCACCATTGTTGCTCCCAATATTAATTTTTATTGTGGGCCAGTTGGGCTCCCCAGGCACAGCTCCCACTCTGCCCTCCCTTTTGTCTGGCCAGAACGCTTTCATATCAAAGCTGCATATCAATGAAGTTTGCTATTCGTAAGTAGTAATTACAATATCAGCAGTTTTTACTGTCATTAAACAATGAACAATCATATTCTGATGAAGGAAACTCGCTCAGAGATTAAAAATGAGTAATGCACTCCCAGCTGAGGGTGAGATGTAGTTTCTGTTTGTCTGGCAGCAAGATGATTTTTCAGTCCAGAGAGGAGACTGGAAATAGAAGTGGTTGTTGCAGGGGACAGCACACTGGGAGGAAAAAAGACCTACTTGAGTGCTTACGCCAAAATCACATAGCTTGACTTGTCCTCTTGTGTTTACAAGCATATTGGAAGGCTTCACATCTAAAAAGGAACCAGAGAAGCCCATGAAACTCATCCCATATTGACAATGCTTGTTTTGAAAAGCACACATGCACACTGTACTGTATTGGAATCATAAATTTCTAGAGAAGCAAGGGTTTATTTCAAGTGAAAGACAAATCAAAGCTGAGCTTCCAATGACAGTAAATATACCCATCATCCTCACCACGGCATTTCAGGAAAAGTAGAAAGGCAAGAAAACGTAATCTTGCAAAGAATTTGTACAAAAATGATTAGCTCTACTTTAAATGTATAATCAACAAGCTACCTACCCTATCTCTGAGGTGGTAAGGCCGAAAAGAAGACAAGGAAAGAATCACTCACATGATGCGGGTAACAGGTCAGATCTGAGTAAAACAATGAGAAAATGAACACACTATTGCCATTTTCCATGTTTTACATGACAAACGCTACTTCAGGTAACGCTTAGAAATTGACCTAAAAGATGTTTATGTGCGTGTGTGCCTGCACAGATCAGTCTTTGTTTCACTGATCCTTCTCCTCCCTTACATCATTTTTGACTGTGGTTATAGTTAACAAAAGAATTCACACAGCTTTTGCTAAAGCAGTCAGTTGGTAAATAATGACACAAAGGGCTTCTGTCAAACATCTTCAGTGACAACAATCAGCCTTTTCTGGAATTCAGGGAGGCCACAAAAACCATCCAAGCAAGACTTGTTTAGCCGGTAGACAGCAGCACCTGCTTTGACGCTTCATCTTTATTGGCAAAAGTGGTCTAGGACAGACAACTGGCTATATTTAGAACATATAAACTTAACTATCCCAAATATGAACAAGAGACTCAGAATTACTTATGGGCTATTTTTTAAAAATCTGTAAATGAGTTAGTCTCTAAGTCTTCTGCCATGCAAACAGGTACCCTAACAAACCTTTGCCAGGGTAGGCATTTCATTTTAATTTCAAGTCGAAACTCAGTAACAGACAAATCCGGAGCCCTACTTGCCATATGACAGGCAATGGGCCAAGCACTTTCTCAAACATCAGCTCATTTAGCGTTGGTTCAGTGACATTAGGATGCTAAGTCCAAGAAGGCAGCGACTTTGCCTCTTTCACTGTTTGCTGCTATCCCCACTGCCTAGAAGAGCTGCAGGCATACAGTAAGTGCTCAACAAATCCTTGCTGAGTAAATGAGTGACTAAGTGGGTGGAAGTGTTTTATGTTGGTGACTACACTTCATGGATGAGGGCTTAATGGTACAGTGGGTCATGTCTCTGTAAGCAGGCCCTTCAGATAACACACACAATAACCTTGACCATGGCTCTCTCCTTAAATACAGGTCAGATGCACAGGGAAACACAGAATTTCTTACCAACTGCTTTCTGAACCTCCAGTTTTTCCTAATTTCAACATAACTCTTACAGCATCATTACATTAAACCTTAAAATGCAACACTTTCACTACATCACTTCTCTCCTTGAGGACATTTAATGTTTCCCAGGCACACTCCCTACTTGCTTCTTAAGAATATGGCTGTGCTTTCAAATGTACTCCAGCAATAAGCACAACACACCACAGACTGCCAGACCAGACACTTAATAAATGTTCATCAGCTGGACATGATGGCACGTGTCTGTTGCCCCAGCACTCTGGGAGGCTGAGGCAGGAGGATCATATATTTGAGCTCAGCCTGGGTGACTTAGGAAGACCCTATCTGAAAATTAAAGCAAAAACAAGTCTTACATTTTACATAGGGTGGCCTTATTTTCCAGATCTAATTGTCATTATAGGCCTTCAACTTTGAGTATTTTTCTTTTGGACAATTTGTTCTCTTAGACATTGACAGCTTAAACCACTCTTAAGCTACCTCATCAAATGGACACATACTCTGAGCTCCTAGAAGAGCTTCCTGCAAACCATGAGGTAAACTAATGTAGCAAAATGTACCTTCAATTAGACACACATTAGACTGAAGGGAGATTGAGAGAAAAGAATACAAAACAAAACTGCTAGACCCATTCTAAAACACAAGGTGCATTTAAGAACTTGACTTGAGTATTTTCCAGCTCTCCACAATATCTTTGTAAAGGAAGCCTACTGAATGCCTTTTGCATGTTAGCCTAGTTCATAAGAGTACTGTACTGTATGTCTAAAATTACTAGGCACCCAATGATCATCAAATCAGTCTCTGCATTCCAAATGCCCTGTTTTCATCACTGGCAGAAGTAAAATCCCTGATGTTCCTGCTGTCCTTGCCTCTCCCTCCCACCTACAGATTTTGAAACCCCTCTCTAATTTCTGGTAACCTGAAACCCGCTCATGCTTCTACTCAAACACCTGCCTCCCTGTTGCCCCAACTTCTCAGGCCACCAAGGCCAAGGCTTCCCTTGAACTGCCATCTGTGCCATTTATTAGCATGTGACACTTCCCTAGATATTTGCTGGCACAGATCTCCTCACTCTGGGAAACCATTTCACAGGTAGGAATGTGCACCATCCATCTTGGTAAGAATCCCTTCTGAGCACAGTATTTTGCTCACTTTGTTTCTTTTAAATAGTATTTAATTTGCCTATTTCAATATCCTCCTTCACACTAATATGCTGACGCATAATTTAAACATAACAAGTATCTATAAACTAAGCCAATGGATTCACCCTTTTGATCCTGCCCCAAACTTGATGTGGACTTTGGACTTGACATGTGAGGATTTAGTTTCTACCTCTGCAGAGGGATAATAGCTACTGTGTTTGTCTTAAGGAGCAGTGAGGATCAGATGAGACAGTCAATGTAAAACTGCTTTGCAAACTGTCAAACACTCAAAATGTAAGGTATTATTATGAATTGGTAATCAGCCATGCTGCAAAAAGTTCCACTGCTACTGCAGCAATTTAAATTGAATTTAAATAAAATATCAGCTGACAGAAAGTAGTTTCCTAAGCCCACTAAACAGAACTGTAAAACTAATTTAATTATGCATGAGGAAACCTTTATGCCAGACCACATGACTTACTCCTCCTCTACCAGGCTACTGACCGGCTCTCCTGAATGTCACATTGGCTCTGCGACAGTCTGTGTCTGACCCAGCAGTTAAGGTGAACCTTTAAAACTAAGTCCAATTCTGTCTCTGCTCTCCAAACACCCCCGAGAGCTTCCCAAGAAAATGCAGACTGGGATCCTGCCCTCTGCAGTGGTCTTCAAGGTCATGAGCCAGCTATCCCTGCCTCTGCACTCTGCCTTCTGTCCCTACCCTATCCACCCCTATGCCTCGTGGGCCTCCTTGTTGGCCCATCCCTGGGCCTCGCTCCTCCCACACCATGGCTTGCCCCCACTTCCTTGAGACTTCCACTCACACGCACCCTTTCTGAGAGAGCCCTGCCAGCCAGCCAGAGTGAACCAACAACGTCACCCTAGCCAGACATCCCTTCCCTTTCTCCCTGGCTCGCTGCTCTTCCAACATTTAGCACCACTGACACTGATGTCTCTACATGCAGATCTATTAACTTTGGTCCTCCTTTCGTAAAGGTATGTTCCATTAACACACTTCATCTGTTGTACTTGCTACTATCTAGAATGGTGTCTGGCATGCGCAGGAAATGGTATCTATAATGGTACTGAAATATCAAATGGTACTGAATACCAAAAGATGGGCTAACATGCTTACCCAGAATAAGCATGAGTTTGGCTTAAGGAAAAACTATGTCTTCCCAATGAATGGAATACACTTCAAGATGAACACATTTCTAAACACTGTCCTTCACTCTAAGAATACATACACACTCAACAAATATTTAGTAATGCTTTACTATACATGAGATGTGGTAGTAGGTGCTATGGGAGAAGCACAGGGAAGACCCTGCCTCTAGGAGTATCCAATCAAGGCATTGATGTTGAACTGGGAGTAGTGGGGCACAACTGTAACCCTAGTGCTCTCGGAGGCTGACGCAGGATATGGCAAGTGTGAGCCCAGGCTGTGTACTTAGACTTTGTCTCAAAATAACAAAAGGGGCTTGGGATATAACTGAGTCTGAAGGCCTGGGGTTCAATCTCTAGTAACACATATCACAGGTGAAAAAAGGTGCACTCTTTGAACAAAAGTACTGCTCATAAGATTTCAGGATAAGCATGTGCGTAAATATTCTCTCAATATTATTTTCCTTCTGAAAAATTGGCGTGCTTCTTACAATAAGGACAATGATAGTTACACAACATTTGGTTAGCTCCCAAGGCTGATGTGCAGTTTAAACATAAAGTTTTCTAGCCTAATCCAAGTACTCTGAGAGACTAAGGCAGGAGGACTGCAAGTTCACAGCCTTGCTTGCGTAGGTTTAGTGACCTGGTGAAACTCTGTCGCAAAATAAGTAAAAGGCTAAGTGTGTGACTCTGTGTCAAGATCCTGGGTTCACGGCCCAGCACAACAAAACCAAACCAAAGCACACCACAGCACAGCACAAGAGTGGATATGACCCTAACGCTACTGAATCAGAAACCAATCGAATATAGTCTGCTCTTCAGGACAGCACTTAGACAAGACCTGCATTATTCATTATGTTTTCCTCTCATTTAACTTCTAAAAAGTTCAGGGTATCTCAAGAAAAACTTTTCACTTTACCTTTTGAAATCAATTTTATTTATTAAAGTAAGTTTATTGCGGCCATCTTGTGTGTACAGTTTGGCAAGTCTAACAAATACACATAACATGTAGAAACAGTTATGAAACATTTCCATCACCCCAAAAAGTCTGCTGTGTCTCTTGCCGGTTGACAACACTTTGACTGCCAACCTTTGGCAACTACTGAATGGTTTCTGATGTTACTAATTAGTTTTGCCTTTTCTAATATATTATCAATCTCACAATATAGTATATTATTTTTGCTTTAAATGTTCTGTTGATTAGTGTTTGGAATGGTACACATCAGGCACAATATTTAAAATAGAGCCTTGCAAACAGTATACTGTTATTTGGGTCTTTTACAGTCTATCATCTGCATTTTTAAACTGGAATATTTGGACAATTTATATTTTATGTAATTATTGATAGGATTGGGTTCAAATCTTCCATCTTACTATTTATCCCTTCTTTGGACTGCTGAACTGTTTCCTCTCTTCCTCCTCTCTTTCTCTCTATCTCCATCTCTGCCTCTTTCTCTCAGACAATAGGATGAAATTTGCCAGCCCATTTAAAGCTTTCATTCATTCACTGACTGAATGCAGTATGCTTCTTTAGCTTCTCAAAATCTACCTTTAAATAATAAGAGGGCACTTCATTTATAATGCAGGAATTTCACAGTAGTGTACTACATTAGTCCTTTATCTGTACTACTCTTGTGTATCTTTCCTGTATGTCTTAGCCCCACAACGTCTTTATTTTTGTGTTAATTCTTTTTAAAGAATTGTAGAATGAGAAAAAGTCCCATTTAACCACATATTTACCATGTTGCTGTTATTTCATTCATTTGTGCAGCTTAACTATCCATCTGGTATCATGTCTTTCTACTTAAATATCTCCCTTTTACGTTTTTCATAGTTCTGGTCTTACTGGCAATGTATTCTCTCAGCTTTGTTTGTCAGGAAAAGTCTTCATTTCGCTGTATTTTTGGAAAGTATATTCAGTGAATACAGAATTCTGGATCAACAGTTTTCCTTTCTGCATTTAAAAGATGTCTTCCCACTAACTTCTCACTTGCATAGTTTGTGACACGAAGTCTGCTGTTACTCTTCATCTTAGATCTAAGTGTTCTTTTTTACTTTTTCTTTTTTAAACACATAGTCTCACTAGGCAGTTCAGGTTGACCTTGAACTCACTATGTAGCCCAGGATGGCTTTAAACTTGTGGCAATCCTCCTGCCTCAACCTCCCAAGTACTGGGATTACAGGCATGTATCATAAATAACTTTCTTTTTCATCATTCACTTTAAAATTTTTGATTATGAGGTGCTTTATTGTGGTTTTGTGTTATCCTAGTAAGGGTTTGTTGAGCCACTCAGATGTGTAGGTTTATGAGTTTCACCAAACTTATAATAATTTAGGCCATTATTTCTTCTTGTTTTCATTCCCTTTTCTCTTCCCCACCTCTGAAACTCCAGTTACATATATATCCTGGACTTTTAGATACTGTCTAAAGACTGTGGGTTTTTTTTTTTTTTCCTTTTTTCTTTTTTGTTTTTGAGACAGGGTCTCACTATGCAGTTCAAACTGGCCTTGAACTCACTTTGTAGCCCAGGCTGGTCTTGAACTTGTAGTGATTCTCCTGCTTCAGCCTCCCGAGTGCTGGGATTATAGGCGTGCACCACCATATCTGGCTTGTGCTTGCTTTTCGAAATTTCATTCTCTGAAAAAGGAGCAGAGTTCTTCTGTAGTAATTTTGGATGAGTCCTTTATTTTTAACTTGAAGATTACTAACCATTTATTCCATAATATTTAATATACTATTAATTCTATGAAGTGAAATTTTTATTCCAGCTATTTTCTTTTTCATCTCTAGATGTTTTTGTCATTATGTCTCTTTGTTAAGCTCATGTTTTCTTTGAAATCTGTGGGCATATTTAAAATTTTATAACTATTTCAGTCTTTGTCTGCTAAGTCTATTATCTCTGGTATTTGTGTGCATGGGGAGATTGCCTGCTTGTACTGATTGAATTCTCTTTGGTTATGGTTTTTCATCCATACTCAGAAGAAACAGTCTTAGCTTGCCTACTTATTTTTATATTTACAGACAATGGGTACTGTGAATTGTACACTACTCCTTTAGCTGTAGTCCTTTGAAAAGAGTTTTACAGATTTTGTTGTAATTCTTTAAAAAGTGTTAGATTTGATACTGGTAACGTGCAGATAGCTGACACATTTTATTATTTTAGAATATTTACTCATGGAGAATACAGAATAACCCCTATGCTAGGGCTAGTTTAGCCCCACTACTAAAGTATAATTCTTCTCAAGTCTTTCTTGAATGTTCCAATGTAATGAGGTCTCTCCACATTGCTGATTGGAATTAAAAACATTACCAAACTTACATAAGCTTTGGAAATTGTTTGTCTTACAGTTCCCTAGAAATTTTCTTTCCTAGGTCTGTTGTCTAATATTATAAGATTTCAACTTTATTAATACAGAATTTTTGACACAGATGCTTCCTCTCTAGGATGCTATCCTGAGGATTTCAACCATTTTTTTTTTTTTTTTTTTTTTGTCTTTTTCTTCTTTATTGGTACCGGGGATTGAACTCATAACCACACACTTGCAAGGCAGGCGCTTAGGCCGCTGAGCTAAATCCCCAGCTCCCTTTCAGCAAGTTTTTAACTCCAGTCTCTTTCTCTTCCACTCTGTTAGTCCTCTAGGCTCTGTCTGGGTTTACAGAAAGGTTGGGTGATTATAGGACGTACCTCACTTGGTCCCCTCTCTCTGGGATCACTGACCAACACTGCTTGTTGTGTAACATCTAACAACAGCTGTTTTGTACAGTATGTTGTTCAGTCCTAACTGTTTTTCATGCATAGCAAGTCTCATAGCATCAATTCCCTCATGGGCAGAAGTGAAAGTATCTTTTCATTTTAAGTTTTATTTTTGTCTCTTGTTCATTGTTTTGACCTTATAAGCCATCTCAAACCCTTTTTTGAAATACATAGGAAATAAATTATATTAGGACTTTAAACTAAATCTGAATTCATGAACAGAAGTTGAAGCAAAAAAAAAAAAAAAGCAAAGAGAATCTCTTTATAAACACAGGGCTCTTAATTAGCTCTCTCAATTTAAGTTTGGTTTCATCTTGAGTATACTATTTCACCTTATATAAAAGGTAGCAATAATGCTAACATATAGTCAATGTACTCACTACTTTGATTTTTCATTTAAAACAAATTCTGAACACTCAAAAATAGGTCCAGGAATGCTACCACAAAAGATTTTGTTGATTGGGTTTGTTTGATTTTGTTTGTTGGTTGGTTGGTTTTTCCAAAGGCATAGACAACAGCACATCTGATTAGGCAGAAAGATTACTTTTAGGGAGGTAGTTCTATCTGTGCTTATTTTAATGCAATATTAAGTTATGGAAAACAAACAGCAATTGAAGGCCTATAGCTTTTCATTCTGTATACTTAAAAACATCAGCATTTTTTCTGTAAGCAAAGCGCAGAAAAGATGGGTCATTAAAGTGACTGATTATAAATGTGAATCATCAGGGAAGATGTAAGTCATTTTGGTTTAATCAGGCCATTAATTATTAGGGTTTATCAATTAGTTTTATTGAAGGCAAGGGAGCTTAAATGAATAGCAGGGCATTGATTTTAACTGAGACATTTTCTCAAAGAAAATACAAATGAGATCTATAAAAGCCTGGAATCCTAGATCCTCTTCATATCTCTAAAGCGAAATTTGTTGCTCCCATTGCCACATGTAAGTCCTTGGTGGAAAACTAAATCACCTTTCATCTCTTTTAGCAGTAAATATGAAATATCAAGTTCTGTTGTTTCCAAATTTGAAATTTGGTTTAAATTCATGTTAGCCATGAGACCACCATCATTTTGGAGACAGTGAGAGGAAAGTATAATTCAAAGTGACCCACTTTGCATATCAGATATTCCTTGTCATTTATTTTAGAGAAATTAGTCATTTTCTGAGATCAGGCCCTTAGAGGGGTCGGGGTAGAGCGCTCAGATCCTCTCAGTGGGAGCCAAGTGAAACCATGGACATGCAAAATCCTAGAATCAGCCCTGAACATGGACTGTGAGGCTGAACAGCACATGAAAGTGAGCACACAACATGCTTGCATGTTCAGCACCACACACACAACTTCACTTTGTATTCTCATTGGCAACCCTGGCAATGCAGGAAGATCCATTACCACCCTGGTCCTGGAATGGTACCTTGACACACGATTATATCTCGATTATCTCCTCATATCTGATCTTCCTACATTGACAAAGTCTTATTCAAAGGATTGAGACTCTATGGCTAGCGCTGTCTGGTGCAGAGCTAGTAGTGGGTGAGTTGCTAAATGAATCAAAAAAATGGGAGAACAGTGTAAGTTTGAATGTACTATTATCAGTGTACGCTACTGTTCTGAGGAACTGGTAATGGTGTGGACTTCTACTCTATAAAATCAAGATGTGGATCCCCTAATCTACTGGACCACAGCCAAACACCTGGTAAGGTTAAACCTTCATGACTCCAGCTCCACCTGTAGGTAGGGTTCTTTCGGAACGGTAAGTGCTGTGCAGCGGGATCACGGAAGAGCTCATTATACAACCCGTCACACGTCCCTTGTCACAATATTTTTCCACTTCTTCAGTGGGATTTCACAGTAAGATGGGGCTCTGAATGATGATGTAATGAATCCAAGTTGCACCTGTATCAGCCCAACTGGATAATAGGTGGTTTTGATGCAGTTCTAGTCTATAATTGAAGAGCTGAGAAGATTGCTAAAAAGTATCACAGAGCAGGAAAAATGTAACATTTATATCTAAGGTCCTGTGCCATGCTGATACTGTAATGCATAATCGTAGGTGGTTTTCCACAGGCATCTATTACTAAATAAAAAAATTTTTTAACTTCTATATTATTTCTATGCTTTTTTGTTTTGCTTTTTGATGTGAGTACTTTTTTTTTTTTTTTTTTTTTTTTTTGGGTACCGGGGATTGAACTCATGACTGCATGCTTGCAAGCCAGGCATTTATGCCACTGAGCTAAATCCCCAGCCTCTTGTTTTGCTTTTTTAAACAAAAAAAATCTGAAAGAAAGTTAATCTCAAAGTATCTTTAAAAATTAAATACAAGGGCCAGTGATTTAGCTCAGCAGCATAAGCATCTGCCTTGCAAGCATGCAGTTGTGAATTCGATCCCTGGTACAACAAACATACAAACAAACAAAAAACCCCATTAAACATAAGCTGTGGGCCGGGGATTTAGCTCAGCGGCAAGAGCGCCTGCCTGGCAAGCGTGAGGTCATGAGTTCAATCCCCCGTACTGCAGAGAGCCAGGCGTGGTGGCTCACGCCTGTAATCCCAGCACTTGGGAGGCTGAGGTGGAAGGATCCTTGGGAGTTCGAGACCAGCGTGGGCTACAAAGTGAGCTCAAGGCCAGCCTGAACTGCATACCGTCCCAAAAAAGACAAAAAACAAAACAAAAAAAACATAAGCCATACATTTAGTTTATGTGCTGCCAAAGCAAGTGTAAGCCATACATTTAATAAGCCAAGTACATACGTATAGTCCCAGCTACTTGGGAGACTGAGGCAGGAGGATCACTTGAGCTCAGGAGGTAAGCGAGGGCAAGATAATGAGACTTTACCACAAAAATAAAACAACAAACACCAAGAAACACGAACTTAGCATGTAAGATTTATGGTCACACTCCTTTGTCTTTAAGGAAGTATAAAATACTAGTTAATTACACTGATTATATATTACGTATCAATGATAGTAAAATGGTTACTTTTCAAAACTAGTAAGTACTAGATTATCTGATGAACCATGATTGCAAACCTTTTACAAAAGGTATTACATCATTCCACTCCTAGGTATCTACTCAAAAGAAATGAAGAAAAGCCATGTAAAGACCTGTATACAAACAGCATTATTCATCCCATCCCAGTGGTATAATTCCAAATATCCCACTAGTAAATGGATAGATACAATGTGATAGGTCCATCTTACAGAATACTAGTCAGCAACAAAAAGGAGTAGTCTGTGGATGTGCTCTGTAACGCAGATCGACCTCAGAAATATAAGTTAATTGAAAGGAGCCAGTCATTAGATTTCATATTGTATGATTCTAGTTCTATAAAATGCTCAGAAATGACAAATCTATAAAATGTGAAAATAGATTTCTGTTCTCTGGGGCTGTGGATGGGAGCAGGGATTGATTGTAAATGGGTATAAGGACTCTTTTTTTAGGGTGATAGAAATACTCCAAAACTAGATCATGATGATGGCTGTGCAATTCTATAAATTTACTTGAAATCACTGAACCATACGCGAACACAAACTATGTATCAATAAAACTGTTTAAAAAACAGCCTCAAAACACAATGTGACTTATCATTAACATTACTAATTACTAACACTCTAATTGATAATCCATAGTTTGCAGATGCTTTGTAGTCACCGTGGTACCTTTCTTATGATAAAATATGAAGCAGCAGTTAACCGTTTTACGCATATTATAAACATACGATTATTTTCCCTTAAAAATAATACACACACTAGAAGGTCTGAATAGCTGATTAGAAGTCTTTAAAAAAAAGACATTGATTTTAAAATTGCTTTTGTGTAGTTAAGACTGCTTCCCAAAATGACCAGGAAATGCCTGAAAAATACAAAACCAACTGATTCAGACATGA